ATTACTTGAGTAAAAGTACAAGTATCTTACCGAAAAATTACTTTGGTAAAAGTCAAAGTCTCCTTTAGGAATATTACTTGAGTAAAAGTATTTAAAGTATCGGATTTTTTTGGTACTTAATTATTAAAAGTCAAAGTATCTGATATTTTTTGTACTTAAGTAATAAAATTAATCAGATACTTTAATACTTTTACTCAAGTAATATTCCTAAAGGAGACTTTAACTTTTACCAAAGTAATTTTTTGGTAAGATACTTGTACTTTTACTCAAGTATCACTTTGTGGTACTTTATACAACACTGGTTGACAGCACAGTCTGGTTTGTCATCTTTTCTTTGAAAAATACAACAACAACTTTTAATGAAACATGAGACATTTTTATTTCCTCACACTTTCTCTTGTAGCCACCTCCGGGGATGTCCAGGCCTATCAGATCCGTGCAGCCCCCGCCAGCACCATCACCCCTGGAGTGGTCATGGCGTCCTCGCCTGCCCTTCCTACTCAGGGTGCCACGGAAGAGGTGACCAGAAAAAGGGAAGTGCGCCTCATGAAGAACAGGTATGACCAGAGGACAGGTGGTCGACTCTTGGTMGTAGTAACATCGTTGTAGTTGCAAAAAAAACCAAGTCAGAATCCAAATCTGAAAAAGTGTTGACATATTTTAATGTAATTAAAATATTATGAAGAATTCTGAAGTCTAAAACAAATATTTGAATTGTGTTTCCTATGATTCCCTTCTTAAACAGTCTTGCTGTGGCATTCAGTCGTAGGTTTTATACCACTTCTCAACACAAAACATAAGAAAGAAAGCCAACTGTGTGTCGTCCTTTTACAGAGAGGCAGCTCGTGAGTGTCGCAGGAAGAAGAAAGAATATGTTAAATGTCTGGAGAACAGAGTGGCCGTCCTGGAGAACCAAAACAAGACTCTTATTGAAGAACTGAAAGCTCTTAAAGACCTTTACTGCCATAAATCTGAGTAGCTCTTCACCCGAACACCCATCTGGGCCAAGTAGTATTTCAGTTTCCTTCAAATACTTCAGACTGTTTGATTCCTCCTGCCTGGCCTGCCACTTTGCTTACGGTTGGTCTTCATTTTAATTTTATTTTTTCCTCAAAGTCACTCAGTCAAGCTCTGCTTTTACTGCAGGCCAACAGTACAATCAACAAAAAACATCAAGTAGTGMACTGCCATTCGGAGGTACAGTAAGAGTAACCATTAGAAAGTGCTGAGTAAAACTTGGCACTCTAAATCAATTACTAGAATCTTTGTTAAATGTCTCTAAATACAGGATGAGGCTGAGATCATGTTGGAACAGCTTCATTTTACTGGTATGGTTTTAACCAATGTTTATAGTAGTTTGTACATCACTTTTACAACTGTTTATTGGAAACAGGTGCCTGAGTCAAACCAAGGGTGTTGTAGAGTCTCAGTCATCCAGGAAATGGCAAACCCAAGTGCTTGAAGAAAAGACAACTGGACTTCCTTTTTGTTTCCTGAATGTGTTTCATTTTTCATCAGGCTCAGAGTTCGGGGTTTTCTCTCACAGATTTAGTTTTACGACRGTGGCTAATTGTTGGCATCAAAAAGAAAAAATAAGTAGGTCCTCTGGATGGTTTCTTCTTTAGTGAAACGTTTCGTCTCTCCTCCAAGAGACTTCTTCAGTCTGATGAGTTTCAGGTGAACTCAGCCTTATAAGCACTGCCTCTGTTCTGGCAATCTGTGCTACTCATCAATTCGTCCTACCTTGTGGCAAATGCGCAAGCGCAGACCAATGCTACGTCGTATGTTTCTTACTCAGCAGAAGTTTCTTTTTGTTACGTTAAGTTTTATTTAATTAAGCTGCTATGTTACTCAAAAATATTAACATAAAAGGCTCGTTTGCTATTTGAAATAGTGTTACCATACTGTAAACAAGAAATTAGTCTCATTGTTTACCATCACTTATCAGTTTATGAAAGGTGACTTGTGGACATATAATTTACACGTCAGTAACACCGTCACTCAAAGAATTTTATCCGATGATGATATTTTTGTAAACATGACAGCAGCAGATTTTGATTGGTAGCACCAACAGTACATCTAACTATCAAACCGCACTATGGTAGCAAAATCTGACGAGGTAGCACAGATCATCAGAACACCTCCACATGGACAAACAGGTTAGTCACATGCAAAAGTGGGCCATCGACTAACAATAGGCTTGATTYGCTCTATTGTTCATAGAGYGTCATTGGCTGACTTTGTCAGGTGATGGGGCACATTGTTAGTCGATGGCCCACTTTTGCATGTGACTAACCTGCTTGTCCATGTGTAGGCAGTGCTTATAAGGCTGAGTTCACCTGAAACTCATCAGACTGAAGAAGTCTCTTGGAGGAGAGACGAAACGTTTCACTAAAGAAGAACCATCCAGAGGAACTACTTATTTTTTTATTTTTTTCTACCTGGATTACTGAGATGCATCAGGACTAATTGTTGGCAGTTTCAGTTAGCTACACACAAAGTGATTAGCCCCAAAATGGTTAATAATCTGAATGAGCTTTAATGTCTCCAAACTCTATAGTGATGCACACTGCTGCTTGCCTCCTCAGTAAACCTGATGCCACAGCTGTTTTTTCTGGCAGGTAAAGGCTTCTTTCAAGCTGCAGCTGGAAAACTTAACTGCTTTTTTAGAGATGTTGTTGGTCTTCCACACCGTGTGTCACTCTTCCRACTCTTCACACAAGTTACTGCTTCCAATGTGACCCCCGAGCAGCAAGCTAATCAGGGCAGAAGCTGAAGATATACTGCGACCAGGGTTTATTGAAAGATGCAACAACACAAAGCTTAATCACCATATGCTGTGTGAAACCAGAACTATGACTTATAAGCTTGAAACTCCCCATCTGTCATTAAAAGTAAAGCTTTTCAGATGAGAAATGAAATATCTTCAAGGGTATACTACCTTTAAAGTGCCTGTGACTTGCATATCTGTCAAATACAAAAACATCAAAGAAAACATCTTCGTATTTAAAAAGCGTGGCATCAGTGTTTCCCAACCAGGGGTACGTGAGCATATTACAGCGGGTATGTGGAAACATTTCTCAGGTGTGTAGAAACAATAAAGAACTAGAAGCACTCAGAGTGCAAACCTCCACCAAGACCAATTTCCTCCATCCTGTAAGAGTTAATGTGCAAAAGCAGAGATGGAAACACATTTGCTGAATAAGTTCTGACGTAGTGAACATTTAAGCAGCAGTATGATGGGATTTCTTCTGGTGGAGTCCAATGTGAAAAAAAAAAGTCAGACTCGTCACCCGACGTTATTCATGGTCAAACTGGTGTGGGATTAAGCTCCTACGTTTTCATCAGTCACATTTCACCATGTAAAACGTCTGTTTTATCTCCTTGTATGAGTTTGTAATGGTTTGACTCTCTTTATAAAGTGCTTCCTGGCTCCCCCCGTCTCCAAACTTTGAGGCCCGGCAGCTCTCTGTTTACAAGCCTAGTAGAGACAAACTGTTTTGACTGGTTGTTTGGGAAATGTGGTGTGTTTGAGGAAGTGGGAAAAATAGATTTCATGGTGCAGTCACACACTTCCTGGTCACAAAACGTTTTGTAAATGTGCATATTATGGCAAAAAATTATTCATCATTAAATGTGGTTTTAACATTACTTTTATAAAGTTTGAAGTCCGTGCTGTCCAATCCAGCTCACTGTTTTTTACAGAAGTCCTGTGAAAGCATCACAGCTTTGCCGGTCTCAGAGTGTTAAAAGAAAAACAATTCCTGTATCCGCATCGTGATCTGGAACATCACCAAAATTTAATGGTGTGTTCTTTGGCCCAGTACCCACATTTGTAAAAATGTCATGACAATCTGTCCACAAGTTTTTGAGTAATGTTGTCCACAGACAGAACGACATAAAAATGCGACCGAAAACATTGCCTCACCCTTGGCGGAGGTAAAAATAGGACTGAGATATGTAGGGCCCTGTGATTTCTGCAATGTTGAAAATGCAAACGGAATCACGAAATTGACTAAATGGAATCCAGTATAAAGCGCAGAATCTCACAGAATTTGCTCATTTGGGTGAGTTTCTGATTTATTTTGGACGTTGCTGCTTCCTGCACCTGCCATTACCTGGTTRATTTATTTAATTACTTATTTAATGTTTTTATCTTTATGTTTAATTTGAGTTGAAAAGAATAAAATGCCTGAGAATTAAACGTTCTAGGGAGTTAAATAAATAACTTTCATTTAATAATCAGTTGTTGTACATTATAGGTTTGGAGAATCATCATTACGTTTGACAGAGGGGGTACTAGTAGTATGACAAAATGTCTCAGGAGGTACACAAGTCTAAAAAGGTTGGGAACCACTGACATAATACACACAATTTTACCCATTTTCTCACATAACTGACATATTTTCTTCTGAACTTGGCTCAGCCAAAATGAAACAGGAAGTGACATCAAAGGGGAACTCAGGAAAAAAATACTCAATGGTCTTTGTTTATTGAAATAATATTATTTGAACTCTGACTCTTCTTCATCTCTCTGACAGTGACTTGAATTAATCTAAAGAAACTTCAGATTCTTCTGCACAGTTTGTGTTGTCGGCCATTGTAGCAATGCTCCGCTCGCATGCAYACATTCCCCTTTGACATCACTTCCTGTTACTTCATATGTGAACAACTGCTTGTCTCAGCTGTGAGAAATCTATATTGTAATATGTTATTAATGTTTAATTTCCAAAAATGCATTCATATTTCTTAGAAACATTTGGTGTTACAGGCACTTTAAATCAGCTTTCAGCATAAAACCCCCAGCATGTGAGGTTTTCTGTTTTGTTGGGTGGTGTCTCAGTCAGGTATTCATCTTTGTTTACCCCTGAACAAACTCCGGTCCGACCTGAAGCTTTTTCAGTTGCATTATTATTTAATTATTATAAATTTGGTTGAAAGTCCTTTGTTAGCTCCAGCTTTTGTGTTATTGTGGAAGCAATAATGTAACCCATTGTTGCTGTATCATCACTATTTCAACTCAGTATCAGCATTTGTGTATAAATGGCTGCCTTTATTTTTACATTTGATGACTGTCATACATTTTCTTATGCAAGTTGCTGCTTTTGACATAAATTCAGTGGAATATGTTTTAATCTTAATTACCGTATTTATTCAAGTATAATACATAAAATTTAATCCATAAAATCATCCATAAAGTTGGGGGTAGTCCTATACTCAGATAAATATTTTTACTTATGTATTTTAACTGACATATCGGCTTCATTCACAAAATGCCTGAGTTCGGAAATGAGACTGCATCGTAAAAAGCAGCTGAAATGAGCTCACCTCTTTACCTCTTACTCTTATCTGTGCTTCAGAGTGAGATAATAACAGATCCAGGTAGGCGACATGATGTGAAAAAAACATGGAAAAAAGCAGTCCTGCATCTTAGTAATGATAACAAACTAATGACATTAGCGTGTGACCGGGCCGCTCCTCGAA